TCTCCAGTTTCAAAATCAGTCAATGGCTTCAGGAGCCTTTTCAGTGTCAACATGGAGAATTGTTTCATGATAGCCCTGAATCATAATTCTCCAATTACTTATGGCAACAGGGTCCCAGAAGCCCCCATACTTCCAGAACTGCAAGTTTTAGGCAGTTAACAACCAATCTTCCAGTGGCTTCAGGCTTTTTCAGGAGCCTAAATCTCGGCACATTTAACAAGACAAATACATGATTTGTAAATATTTTATATTACTTTTCTTGGCATCGTGTTAGATATTTACCGTACATCAGGTTGCTTGTATCCAAATGTGCAGGGCTAGATCTGCTGTAAAATCACAACTTGCTATGTTGCCACCTAAAGACTGGTGCAGTGTACTTGCCTAAGGCATGAGATCCAAGCCCAAGCCCATGAATAGGTAAAAAATAGGGGAGTGTGAGGAAAGACTTGGGCTTTTTAGTTTAGCAAAGGATAGTGACTTACTTGCCAAGTGCCCTGGAAAAAATGGGACATTCCATTTTTTTCTCATGAGATTGTGGCAGCTATTTTGGCTGCTGTGACTCCCCCCCCCCCGCAAAATGCTTTTAGGGGGACCGTGATCTCATGTAGTGCCCAAAAACAGGCCCCGCAACCCCCCCCCCACTTTTGGGGGAGCGAGAGCACAGTGCAGATCACATAACTTGCATGGTAACATATTCCAGTTTTTGATTAGAAAAAGTTGGATGATATGAAGTTCGTGAGGTGAGGAGACATGTTAGAGGTGTATGGAATTGTGCATGGTGAAGAGCTGTAGCTCAGTGGTAGCACATCTGCTGAATGTTTGAAGATTTAGCTCCTGAATTTGAAGGGACCCAAGTTGGTCTGGCTTTGGTATAAAGCTGTGTCCTGTAATCCTATACATTTTCTTCTCTTGGTTTGCAAGAGGATGAGAAGGCACCTTTACGGAAACTTCTAGTTCCTCCCTCAGTGTGGCCTCATGCCAATTTTACCTCACAGGATTTTTGAGAGGACTTTTTGTTTTTTTTCTTAGGGTGGCAAACTCAAGTGTAAAATCACTCTGAACGCTTTGGGGAGCAAATGTAACAAATTTAATAAATACTTAAATACAACTTTAACATATGATAGGTTCAGATAAAATTAATGAAGTGCCATAATGCAATACCCCACTTGACCTAAACAAAATGACTTTTGAGTATCGGAAAAGAGAGGTAGAAACAGTGATCTAAAACTATCACTTAACTTATTTGTTGCTGTCAGGATGTGCACTGCAAATTGGCTAAAAAGAAAAAAGGGATATGGCACTGTAATTAAATTGATTTATTTTTCTAGACTTATTCAAGAAAATGAATAGATTTATTGAAAAACAGTCTTTGTTCATTAATTTTTGGAATAACAATGTGTAAGTTAAAGCCTTATCTGTATATGTGTGAGTGGGCTAGCATTATGCTAATTATGTTAATTATGTTCAGCTTTTATATCAAATATGATATCAAAATACTGATTTACTATACTGTATTATGTGTCCTCATATTTCCACCTCTGTAAAAATCTCCTTTTTGCAGCCCTCTGTAACTTTTCTCTCTTGCAATTATGTATTAGGCTACTGGGGTTCTGTCTGCATGTTGCCATGGGCAAATGCATTGCTGCAGATGTACAAGCATCTACATCTGCATCTGTGATGGGGAACCTACAACCCTCCAGTTTTTCTTGGATTCCAAGCCTCATTAGTCTCAGCCAGCAGAGCCAGTGGTTAAGGATGATGGGATTTAGAGTCTAACAACATCTGGAGGGCCACAAGTCCCCCACCTCTAACGTAATGAATTCAGGACGTTCTTAAGCTTCCCACTGCAAGAAAAAAGTAGAGACGGGAAGTATGAACAGGAGGCAAAAGCAGTACCATGCATTTCATCTTAGATGAAATGGTTAAGAATTCATAGACTTGCCTATGAAATTGGTTTCTGGGCCTGTTTAAGTCAGCAGAACTTAGCTTCAATAAAAGCCTCAAACTGAACCAAAATGACAAGATTTAGAGTAAAGCATTTGTTAAACCATGTCTTTATATTATGATTTATTTGAATAAGGACTAAGGGAAACCTCTTTTTGTGGCAGAGAAAAGAGCAGCTTTTTATAGGTGAGAAACCACCAGGAAATAGCTCTCTGTATGCCTTGACACCCTATCTCCCACCCCCCAGCAAATTATTATTCTCTTCAAGTCTTTTTATTTTCTAACATTAAAAAACTCTTCCTTAAGGCAGTAAGACACTGTCTGCAGAATTGGCAGTGGCATTGCAGGATTTGGGTGGGGTGATTTAATTTGTGGAAAGTGATATCCTTAAAAAGATTCTGAATGACTTCCAGATACCCCTGCCAATATAATCTGCCATTATAGCAGATGAATCTCAAGGGGTGTCCAGAGCATTGTCTGGTCCTGTTGTGTCGGATGGATTTCAGTTCTTTAGGCTCAAGGTTGTGGACAAGGTGTTTGGATCAGCCAGAGTGACTGGACCCTTGACCCTCTTGGCTGATAAAAACTAGCAGGGAGGGGACAGCTGGCTGGGCCAGGGAGGTGATTAATGCCTCCTTGTGAGAAGGGGTGGTCCCTGCCTGCTTGAAGGAGGCAGGGGTAAAACTACTCCTCAAGAAACCCTCCCTGGATTCAGAAAACCTGAGACCAGCCCGTCTCCCCTTTTTGGGGAATGTTCTTGAGTGGATGGTCGCAGACCAGATCCAGATGCTCTTGGAGGAAACTGATTTTCTAGATCCAGTTCAATCAGGGTTTAGGTCCAGTTTTGGCACTGGGGCAAGATGGTTTGAGCATATAACACCAATCCTGGCCCAACTGCACTGACTTCCAATTAGTTTCTGAGCCAAAGTCATAGTGCTGGTTTTGACCTATTGAACCCTAAATAGCTGGGGACTGCAATACCCCAAGGACCACCTCTCCCCATATGAACTAATCCAAACCCTACAATAATCATCGGAGGGTGGCAGCATGAGAATGGGCCTTTTCTGCAGTGGCTCCCTATTTGTGGAATGCTTCCCCAGGGATGCTCACCTGGCTCCTTCATTATGCATCTTTAGGTGCCAGGCAAAAACATTTATCTTTAACCAGGTGTTCAGCTGATTAACAGTCTGTGGCTTTTTAAATGTGTTTGTGGGAGTTATTGGCTTGCCTTTGTTTCATTATGTATTTTGTATTTTTCTGTTGTGAACCATCCTGGGGTCTTCGGATGAAGGGCAGTATACACAAATTAACAATAACAACAACAATAATAATCCTAGGTGAGAGTTCCTTTATTATAAGCAGGATTAAGAATTCACAGGAAAAGTTACCCAGAAGGAATTAGGCAACTTCAACTCCTGTCTGGTTCAGATACATTTGTATTACAAGCTTTCTTTGTTTATTTAGTTTGTGAATTTAACACTGGGAAACCAGAAGCAAAACATTCTGGAAATATAAATAGAGCTCAAGGCAAGCAAGGATTACTGTAATCATGTATCAGAATTATTGCATTATAACATTGGGACACAGGAAGTTCAAGGGGCTACTTTTGATGTACAAAGTCATATACAGCTTTGTAGGCTGAGACCCTACCTGCCTGCGGACTGTCTCACCAGAGTGGTGCATGCTATAGTTATCTCCCGCTTGGACTACTCAATGCGCTCTACGTGGGGCTACATTTGAAGGTGACCCAGAAACTACAACTAATCCAGAATGCGGCAGCTAGACTGGTTACTGGGAGTGGCCACCAGACCATATAACACTGGTCCTGAAAGACCTACACTGGCTCCCAGTACATTTCCGAGCACAATTCAAAGTGTTGGTGCTGACCTTTAAATCCCTAAACGGCCTCGGCCCAGTATACCTGAAGGAGCATCTTCACCCCCATCATTCTGCCCAGACACTGAGGTCTAGCGCTGGGGGCCTTCTGGCAGTTTCTCACTGCGAGAAGCAAGGCTACAGGGAACCAGGCAGAGGGTCTTCCCAGTAGTGGCACCCACCCAATGGAATGCCCTCCCATCAGATGTCAAAGAGATAAACAACTACCTGACATTTAGAAGACATTTGAAGGCAGCCCTGTTTAGGGAAGTTTTTAATGTGTGACATTTTAATGTATTTTTAATCTTTGTTGGAAGCCGCCCAGAGTGGCTGGGGAAACCCAGCCAGATGGGCAGGGTACAAACAAACAAACAAACAAACAAATAAATAAATAAATAAATAAATAATAATAATAGATACCTGAAAGATTGCCTCAACTCTTATATACCTAACTCACCGCGCTCTGTAGGTGAGGGCCTCCTGAAAATACCATCTTATCAGGAAATCTGTCTGCATAATGTAGGAATCTGCTCTTTATCGTTGTGGCACCTTCCTTTTGGAATTCCCTCCTCTTGAATATTAGACAGGCAGCATCTTTATGGCACCTATTAAATACCTTCCTCTTCAGCAAGGCTTTTGCGTTCTGATCTTCCCTGGTCTGCATCTGTATTGGAATTGTTTTTAAGAGCTTTTCATTATTTCCCCACTTATAGTTTGCTCCCCTGGGCTTGTTGGGGAGGAAGGATGGAATAGAAATTTTATAAATACATAAATTTGGGAGGTGGTTGTGAAGAGCAGGAGCAGCTCCAGGGGGCTCATGCTGGTGGGGCCTCTGCTGGGCTGTGGGCTCCTGGCAGATGCCTTAGTATGCCAACGCTTGCTGCCAATCCTGATTATTATTTTGAATTTATATAGCACCATGAGCGTGAATGGTGTTTTACAAGAGTGCAGTAGAACAGATCCCTTCCCTGAGGGGAATGCAATCTAGAATTGGAGATTTGAGAAACAGTAAGTGATGGAGAGAGAAGTGGGTGGAACAGTAAACCGGAAAATAACACCTAGTGATTACATTGCACATCCTTAGGCTGAGTTATAAGTTGAGTTGGAGTAGGGCACAGGAATTGACTTGATATTTCTAGCAGCTTAATATCATATTTCCCCACCTTTTTCTTTCTTTCTAGGATCATAGTCATGCAGATGTGCCTCAGTATCGCCAGGACCACTCTTTGATTATGAGATCCATTGTTCATATGACAGACGCTGCTCGTTCGGGAATTATGTCACCTAACCAGCTGACCACTATTAACCAATCCCAGCTCAGTGCTCAACTGGGGCTGAACTTGGGCGGGACCAATGTGCCACACACTTCCCCATCCCCTCCTGCGAGCAAATCGGCAACCCCTTCTCCATCCAGTTCTATAAATGAGGAAGACGCGGAGGACTCAAACAGGGTAAGTTCTATCATGTGTTGTAAAAAGATGCTCTCTCTCCCACCACCAAACTTTTGTTTTTGTTTTTAAGAGTTCAGTAAGGGCAAAAAGGAGTGAGTGGAATTCAGCTAAGTTTTATTCAGAGTAGAATCATTTCATATGATACGATAATCTTTATTGTCATTGTCCCATACAGAACAATGAAATTGAAAAAAATCTGCATCAGACATTAAAAAACCAACAAGCCTGCTATCCCAGCTATCCCAGCCTGGTTAACCCCCTAAAAACTCTGATACCCTGTAATTAAATACAATATTTCAGTGAGTCTGCTCTGAATAAAACTTAGTTGAGTATCACCCAGTAGCTTTATTTAGTTGCTTACCATAATGATGCTATGCTGCTATTCTGTGGCTTTTGGTGTGTGTTAATGTGGTGTAATGGTTCGAGTGTGGGACTTAACTGTAGGAACTGGGAGAGCAGGGTTCAAATCCCTTCTCAGCCATGAAGCTCAGTGGGTGAGCTTGGGCCAGCCACTGCCTCTCAGCCTCACCAGCCTCACAGGGTTCTTGTGCGGATTAAATGAGGAGGGGAGAAAACCTGGAGCCCCTTGAAGAAAAAAGCGAGAAATAAATGAAAGAAAAAGTTGCTGGTATAGGGTTCTTTATAGCAACTTCCTCATTTTCTAGATGCAGCAATTCTGACTGACATACCTGCTTGCAAATTAATTTTCATTTTACAAAACCAAAAACCTAAACATTCTTCAATTAAAAAAATCAATAAAAAAATACCTTCACCTCTTTGGGAAAGCCTTGAGTGTGCTCTCAAATTCCTTTTCATATCAGATTAAATAGGTTTGCAAAGGATAGACAGCCAACTGAGAAATATCTCTGAACAATGACAGCCTATTTTGGGATATAAACAAAGAGCAGATGCCCGATGGCTGGAATATCTATGTCTAACATAGCACAGTTTTGCATTTATTTGTTTTGTTACTTTGCAGTTATTAGCCTTGAGCCTGAGGGATAGAGAGCAGGTTATAGAAAGCTAAATAAAGAGATTGGTTGTGCAGGTTATGTATGCAGAATTTTTGATGAAGACCATGGGAGTTGAGCATGTGGAAGGCCTGAAATTAATCGCATGGATCCGTCAAATGCCATTTCCACCAGAACTCTGCCTACAGGCTATGCAGGGCAGCTGCAGAGGGACTCATTGGAGCTCAGTCGTGATTGAATAATGACTCTATTAATTGTTCTGTGACCCGGAAAAAGCAACAAAAGCCATAGTAAGCAGCCTTAACAAAAAGGCTGAAAGAAGAATGACGAGTGGTTTCCTCCTCCTTTCATACTGAGTATCTTATTTCTGTAACTCATCTGATAGGCTGTTGGCTTCCATATGGAACTATGCAAACCTCTAATGCTGGCTACTCTTGCTTGTCGGACAACACAGGGTGAAGGAGCTAGTGGAGGAAATAGGCTCATTTGGCAGGGCCAGTAGGTGGGCTATGAGCAAATGTGAAGCTCATTTGATAGGCTTCAACAAACAAACAAACACCTCTGTTAAAAATGGAAATCGGTGACCTATGCTTCTTTTCTGAGAGCATTCTAAGTGAGTGGCTGGAGGGCTACAAGTTTGGTATATGGTTTAAGTGGGAGCTGGTGTTGCACTGTGAAACGTTTGTCAGAAACAAGCTTTAGATAATGGCCTCAAATACTTTGTATAATGCTGCCCATAGACAAGACTGTTTCTGCATTTCCAGTTGTGCATGAGCACCTGATATGGTGAATGTGATACCTCTGATGGATACTTTAAAAAAAATAAACTAGAAATGTAAGTTTCTTGCCCTCATGATCAGAAATATATTCTATGTCTTATGATTTTGAATTGTTTTTTAATGCCTGCTACAAAGGTCTTCTTTTTATTTCCCCTATGTTGTGGTCTTTTGGCAACCTTCTTTTCAAGTAGAGCATAAATAGCTTTGTGTATGCATAGCTGATTTTTATAATTAATATCCCATGCTGGATACTGATTTTGGTTTTGTTGCTCTTTATCAAGGCTGCAGGAGAAAAGAGAGCTGCCCCAGATTCTGGCAAGAAGCCCAAGACTCCAAAGAAGAAGAAAAAGAAAGACCCCAATGAGCCACAGAAGCCAGTGTCAGCATATGCCCTGTTCTTCAGGGATACACAAGCAGCAATTAAAGGGCAGAACCCCAATGCTACCTTTGGAGAGGTTTCAAAAATTGTAGCGTCTATGTGGGATAGCCTAGGAGAAGAGCAGAAGCAGGTAACCAAGGGACCCTTTGGAGTTTTGGGGGAGAAAGGGGCGATGCACTGAAAGATGCCAAAGTCCTAATTAAACATTAGTGGGCTGATCCTTTTGACTTCATTAATTAGAAATGCAGCAGCACGAGTCGGAGCACAGTTATGTTTCCTATCATCCCAGTTAAGGATCTGGCTTCATATCAGCCCCTTGTCATTCTCTGATTGCAGTGGTAGTAGTAAGGTTGCAATATTTTAATTGACTTGATTGATCAATTAATCAATGAAAAACACTTTTGACCGGCTAAACAGTTCCTGATTTATTGGACGGTGGTGCATTGCACTGCAAAATATTGCTCTGAATGTAAATACTTACTAAAAATGCAAGGACCATCTTAAGAGGCATTCTCTGTTCCCTAATGCATGAAAGAGCATTTAGTAATGGGTTTACCCCTTTAATGACAAGGCTCAGAGGCAGAGCACTAACCTTGCATATGGATGGTCCCAGGTTAAATCCTGGCTGTCTCCAGTTAGGACTTCTGTCTAAAACCCTGGAGACCTGCTGCAAGTCAGTGAAGACAGTACTGAACTTAGATGGACCAATGGTCTGGTTTAAGGCAACTTCATACGTCCATGTTCTTAAAATCTCAGTGAGGGCTGAATGGAACTCAAGAGAGAACATTTCACAAGCAAGTTCAGAACATCAATGAAAATGAGGTGAACTTGCTTGTGAAATGTTCTCCCTTGAGAGGCTACTGCTTTTATATAGCAAGTAAATTTTGTAATTGTGATGACATCACTGGGAGAAAACAAAACCCATTCAGCGCAAGGCTTAATTTATGCTCTGTGACATCATCACAGTCATTTCTAATTGGCTATGAAACTGCTTCCAGGAAGTGATATAATAAATGGAGTCAAAGAAGTAACTGATGGTTGATGTGAATGCAAACAGAAATGGAAGAGGTAACCTTTGGAGGGAGGAGGATGAATTCAGGAGATTTTTTTAAAATCATCTCAGCTCCAACTCCTTCCCATTTTAATGCTGAAAATGTACACAGTAGCAGTTTTGGCTCGTTGTTTTAAAGGAGAGGAGGGATGAGTGCCACACACTTTTGTGAACCTTTTTGTTGCAGAGTTGGCATTGTCCCTTTTGACTTTCTTCGTTTTACAAGACCATAACATCCCTCTTCGGGCAAGAGCTACTTTATGGTGTGAAATTTAAACACTGAAGGTGGTGTTAATTGCAATGTCTTTTAACAGGTATATAAACGGAAAACAGAAGCTGCCAAGAAAGAATACCTTAAGGCACTTGCTGCCTACAGAGCAAGTTTGGTTTCCAAGGTGAGCTTGAGTCTGACTTCAGTTACGCATCCAGTAGTGCAATGCCTTCAGTGTGGTTTCTTTTCACCTTATAAATAAATAAGCAGAGAGTTTGTTTTTTTAACCAGCCTTATCTTTGGGGAAGGACAGTAATCTAGAGGCTCTTGCTTTGTATGCAGATGGACTGAGACTAAGTCCCTGGTATATCCATCTTTTATTCCTGTGTTGTAGAGGTTTGGATTAGACGACTCTTTAGGCCCTTCCAACTCTACAATTGCATTATTCCACTTACAAAAATCAGGTTGCTTTGCTCTCTGTGCAACCAGGACTTCTTGCAGATTCATTCATTCATAATTTTATTTGTATGCCACTTTTCCACAAAAGAATCGTGTCCAAAGTGACTTACATCAAAGAAGACAGGAATAGGTCTCAAAATCAATCATTGCAAATCACAGCTTCATAACAGAACAACAACAACATAATAACAAATATAACAACATACCAGAAAACAGCAAAATTTCAGTACTATAAATATAACTGGGCACTATCCATTTGGAAAAAGAGGAGAAATGGTCTTTGAGTAAAGCACTGCAAAACCATAGAGCATGTTACAAGGCGGTATAATATCAAGTTACTGTATATGCTGCATTATTTATTGAATAAAGCTCTCGTGAAAGCTCCTATAATAAACAGCAGTATGAGACTGTTGGCAATTTATTCTTTTGCAGAAGCGATTTGGTATCTGCAGAAATCAGAACCCAATGCAGAGCGAGTCTGTGAGGTGTAGTAGGTTGTCTTGGGCTTCGCTTGTGGGTTTCATATCCTTGATCAGCTAAGCTATCTTCAGATATTTGAGGGCTCCTCCACTCTACCAATTAATACTTGCAAGGAAATTGAATCTTGGCAACAGGCTCCTCCTTGATGCCTTAAAAACATCTAGTCCTCCCCCTCCAAATGTCCCGAAAAGGCTCTAGCCTTTTCTCCTCCTTCCCACAGTATAGAAAACTTTTTGGCTGCAATGAACACAATGGACTTGAATCGTGTCACTTCCTGATGGGTTTTACTGATGGATTAATGTTTTTGTTGTTTTTTTGGTTTGCCTTTTGTTTAAGCACCCCTTGTGTCCTCCCTGAGATGGGAAGGGGATTGTTCTTTGTTATTAAAATTGTGTTAAAGTGTTGTTTTTTAATTATTAATAAAGAGAAAGGAAGAAAAAGGGGAAGATGCCAAGGATGCTGTTACAAGCTCCTCGGGTGCGAGAGAAATGCAAATGTGACAAATATAAATATAAACGTATAAATATAAAAACATAAGAGGCGGCCCCTGTATTAACTGTCATGAACTTCTCTTTCTTAAATGCAGGCTGCTGCTGAGTCAGCTGAAGCCCAAACAATCCGTTCTGTTCAGCAAACGCTGGCGTCTACAAACCTGTCCTCGTCCCTCCTTCTGAACGCCCCTCTCTCCCAGCACACGGCCATGGCCACTTCTCCACAGACTCTCCAGCAGTCGCTCCCCAGGGCAATCGCCCCCAAGCCTCTAGCAATGCGGCTGCCCATGAATCAGATAGTTGCCTCGGTCACCATTGCGCCCAACATGCCCACAAACATTTCCACCTCGCTGATAAGCTCCATGGGAAGCAGCATGGTGGGCACGTCTGCGTCGGCGCCCTCCCAGGTCAGCCCTTCCTTGCAGAGCCAGCAGCACCAGCTGCAGCAGCTGCAGCAGATGCAACAGCAGCAGATGCAACAGCAGCAGCTCCACCAGCAGCACATGCATCAGCAGATCCAGCAGCAGATGCAGCAGCAGCATTTCCAGCACCACATGCAGCAGCACCTGCAGCAGCAGCAGCACCTGCAGCAGCAGCTGAGCCAGCAGCAAATTCAGCATCAGTTGCAGCACCAGCTCCAGCAGATGCAGCAGCAGCAGATGCAGCACCTGCAGCAGCAGCAGCACCAGTCGCAGCCTTCACCTCAGCAACATTCCCCAGTGGCCTCACAGATCACCTCTCCAATCCCCAGCATCGGGAGCCCCCCGCCAGCCCCCCAACAACACCAGTCCCAAATACAAACCCAGACACAGACTCAGCTATTATCGCAGGCCAGTATTTTCTGAAGACACACGTTGCAAAGCTGCTTTGCATTGTGAGTTAAGCAAAGGGGGACTGTTTACGGCTGGAAACTGTACATTGCTGATGGTAGTTATGCAGGGATGCATAACAGATGAGTGAGCCTCTAAGCTGTCTATTAGATAGGCAATAAAGAACTACAATGTAGCTGTGTATATTCATTTAGCTGACTATAAATATTTGTTTCCCCCCTCTCTCTTTCCGATCTTTTTAAAGAAAATGCTGTGCTCTCTTGTTTTCTTTATTTATTTTGAGCTTTACCCATAATATGTGAACTACATAGTCTTGGATATGCCTGGGCAGTGAAACAAAAAAGTTTTGGTCTTTTTCACAGTTCCAGATTAAAACTGATTAGTGAATGCACTTCCAACCAATTTGGGGTTTTTTGGGGTTTTTTGTTCATGAAGTCCTAAAAAGCACAGTTGTAACTACCTGTAAAATGTTGATTGGATTCCATGCAATCACACTCGTATGACATGAGTAGTTGACGGTGTTTTTCTCTGTCATATATATATATAAATATAAATATATATATAAAGATTAATGTAAAAATCATAGACTTTTGCCAAAGCTCCTTTTTCTCTTTTTAATATGTCTCCAGAAGGGGGAGGGGGGGAACCTGCAAGTGAAAGTTCTTAAATATCAGAGCCCATCTTTACCATCAAAGCTATAATTTCTCTAAACACTTACAGTGCTTTGTTACAAAATATATTCTTACCCTGTTCTGTTCATTCCAAGTTGTTGTTGTTTTTTTTTTTAAGAAAGATGTGAATATTCTATCCTGTGTTTGGGTGACAACTTTCAGATTTAATACACTGTATTTTTTAAAAAAGGAAATGCACTTAAATGCACTGTTATTACAAAAAAAATAGGTAAGAAGGAAAAATGTGAGTTTTTTAAAAATATATGCTGTAATACCAGTAGACTATTTAAAAGAATTGCTACATCTGAATAATCAGTGTAAATATTTCCTTTAAAAAATTGTAAGTTTTTCATATCATGTATTGTAAAGTTTTCATAAATGAGGCTTTAATGTAAACACTGGTAACATGAATGATTTAACTGCAATATTGCTTACTGTGTTTTTATGCTGTTTTTATACTTTTTTATGAGTTATAATAGCAGCAATTGAGTTGTTTGTATTTTGCTTATCTAAAACAAATGCTTTTATCTTGCTATAGAATAAACACATTTCAGTAAAAAAGAAGAAAAAAATCCAACCACATACCCCCAGTGTTTTGCAAAACTGAAATCAGCTAATCCTTAACCCTTTGAACAAAATACCAGCTTGCCCGTGCTACACCTCCTCCTCATACCATAACATTAAGCAGGGCTGTACATGCTCACCTCAAATCTGGTTTGTTGCCTGATTCAACCTAGAATGACCTGATCTAGCCCTAAGTTTAATTGGTATTTTAAATCCTAATGTTTGTGGTAGCAAAGGAGTTAAATGTAGGCCAGGTGAGAGTTTCTATCTACATCTCGCACCCGCCCCCTTCACCTTGGCACCACCTCCATGTTTAATTAGGGTTTAAAACCCTAATTAAACGTGGTTGCCAACCACCACTACTCTCGAGATTGCTCAGGGTGCACCTGATCGAACCCAGAGCAATTGGCCCAATTCAAGTTGGGATTTGTCCAGACCTAGATCACAGCCCTAACATTTACACTGGCATCCAAGGCTGCTCTCACTAATACAGTGTCATCCAAACCCAAGATCCACTGGGATGAGTGAGTTTAGAATAGGTGGATTGCTGAAAGAGCCTGGGCCATGAAGCCCCTCATTGCAGCCCAGCTGTAGATTCACCGGGGTAAGTCTTTTAGCCAGGGTTCTACCAAAACCAGCAGAACCAAGAGTAGGGCAATCTTGCAAAGGGGCATTCTGGGGGGTGTAGCAGGGGCAGACTTGCATCTGTTCAAAATCCCTGTCGACTCAGCAGAACTTGACACTGGCAAAAAGGATGGTGAAAGTTCAAACTTTACTTCAAAGGCTTGTTTTCCCTCAGCCAGGTTTGGGTTGTCTCAGCCAGCAGCTGCCCTGCTCCTGAATGGAGTTTGGCAAATGCCAGTTTATGCTAAATGGGTGTAAGTTCTGCCAGTGTCCTAGCTAGAACTGCTCTGTTAGTGTGCTTCTACCATGGCAGGTTCAGCTTAAACGAGGCAAGCTTAAGCTATAAACAAACTTGATATCATATGGAGGCCACAGTCTTTCTCTGAGCTCAAATGAACCACTCCTGCAGCAGTGCTGGCTTTACCTGGAATCTGGAAAGATCTGGATGAAGCCAGAAGCACTTGCATATGCCAGAAGTTGGATGTGCTATTGAAAACTAGAGTCTATTTCACATGGTCTGCATCAGCCTTTCTCAAGTCCTGTGGATGTTACTGGGTTCTAATATTATTAGCATCAGCCACCACATGACCAATGGTCAGGGACAATGGAAGGTGTAATCCAAAACACTGGGGAGCGATGGTCTGTATTAAGCCCTTTTGCCACCACCAGCAAAAGGGAAGTCCCAACTCCTGTCACTTCAATGGAGGGTCCTTACAGCTAGGAAAGGAAAAGGGCAATAGACTGCATTTGGGGTGCAGGAGGATGACTGACTGAGCAGCAACCACAAATCATGAACGGGGAATGCGGAAGTTTTCCAGAGGGGGAGAGTATCAAGACGGGGACTGAAGACTTTGCTGGGTGGCTACTCTGCTTGCCTCATCTCAAAAAGGGTATTGTAGAGTTGGGAAAGGTTGAGAAGAGGGAAACTTGCCTTTGACAGGTTGCAGGGTTTGGAACTTCTAAGAAAAAAAGGCAAGTAAGAGGCGACATGATAGGAGTTTCAATCATCAATCATGACATGGCGAAGGTTGTTCTCTCATAACACTTGAATTTGTGGACATCCAATGAACCTGCATGTTGGAAGATTTGGGACGAGTATAAGAAAGCCCTTCATGCAGCCTGTGGTAAAACTATGGAGCTCATTCCCACAGGAGGCAGAGATAGCCACCAACCTTGACGGCTTCCAAAGAGGACTGGATAAATTCATTGAAGAGAAGGCTAGCAATAACTATTATGGTTGCAGCCTTAATATTGGAGGTGGTAATGCTTCTGAATACCAGTTGCTGGAAACCACAGAAGGAGAACATGCTCGTGTGCTTGAATCCTGCTTACTGGTTTCCCACAGGCATCTGGTTGGCCACTGTGAGCACAGGATAATGCCCTAGCTGGGCCATTGGCCTGACTCAGCAGGCTCTTCCTATGATCTTATACCTGCCTGTGTCAGAGCTTCTTTGGCACCTGATAAATTATCTATTCAGGATGCTGCTGTGTTTAGAATTTGTTTTGGAGGTGTGGGTAAGGAGATGTGGGTTTAATATTTTGTCATGGCCACTAGCACATTGGAACACTTGTCTTATATATCAGAAATGACTGTCAAGGCATATTACAGTCCGAAAAAAAGAGCTTAAAGAAAATATGTTGGTCTCTCTGGGAAGTTTTGCACTGGAGATGCTTCTCCAATGAAGGATTCTCCAGCTGATCTGCCTTTTAGGGTTAACCTTGCAAGTGAAATGGAATTTTACTGAAGCACTCTTGACCCCTTGACAGCATCTGCTGAAAGATGCTAGAAACTTGTGGCAAATTCCCAATGCTCCCTGTCTGCCTCTTGATTTTGCATAGGGCTCAAGCTTGTGCCCTTCATCCCCATATCATCCTAAGATGAAGCAATAAGTGGAGGTCCAGGGTGGCAGCAACTTTGCCCTCTTTTTCTTGCTCCAATGTAAAATCTCTCGCCTGCTTCTAACCCCTGTAGTTATATATATGTGGCTTCTGCCTATCTTTCCATTCAGCTGCACTTCACATTGCAAAATGGCTTCAAGCCTCTGAGAAAAGAGGTTTCCCATGAAGGAGGTGGGGGTAAGCCAGGATGGTATTGATCTTGGCTACCCTTAAATGTTAAGGTGGCGGTTCTCAACCTGTGGGTCCCCAGATGTTGTTGGACTACAACTCCCTTCATCCCTGAGCTCTGGCCTTGCTAGCTAGGGGTGATGGTAGTTGTAGTTCAACAACATCTGGGGACCCACAGGTTGAGAAAGGCTGTGTTAAGGCAATCGGGGACATTTAAAGTGCTAGCCTCCAAAGCTGCACATGAATTGGCATATTTGCCTTAGGCATGGTGGCTAAAGCCAGGAAGAGATTTTTGAAATATTAAGCGCTTTATAAATGCTTTTGAATAGATAAATGCACAAATAAGCTGGGATGGTGCCTCATAGCAGCTCACGCTAACAGGTTATCCCCGATGGATTGCTTTATATACTTTCATACATGGGGAAATTGGTCTGGCATATGAATTCTTTGGCCTAATTTTGACTGCTTTGCAGGGATGCAACATTCAGTTAGTTAATTAATTCCTTTAAAAACAAGAACGAAAAACCCTCCTATGCATGCCCACTTGGATAGAAGTCCCATTATGTTATCTGGAGTTTTGGATTACCAGCTTGGGCACCACTACTACTACTACTTCTTCTTCTTCTTCTTCTTCTTCTTCTTCTTCTTCTTCTTCTTCTTCTTCTTCTTCTTCTTCTTCTTCTCTAAAAGTATAAGCATGTAAGAAGACCTGCACTGGATGCATTCAAACATTCCTAGAATCATAGAACTGCAGAGTTGGAAGGGGCCTAAATGGTGCTCAACCCTTCCCCCTGCATTTATCTAGTCCAGAACTGTAGTGTCTAATCAAAAGCCTCAGTGATGTCCATAAACAGGCATGGAGCTAGTAACCATCTCCCATTGTTTCACAGCAGGCATGCTGGTACTCAGTGACATATATCCATCATGATTGCCACTTTAATTGCTTCAATAAACCATTTAATTAATTTCAGTAACAATTTTGAGTTTGTAGTCTTTCTTAATGTCTCAGCTGGGGGTACGGGATAATTTTGAGGCCAGATTTGCACCTGATGGGACTGAATAATATTTTGCTGTCAGTGGGAGAAATGCAGAGTGGCTGTGGATTTGGGGAGTACCTGCAAACAAACAAGGGGAAGGCCATAGTTCAGAGGCAGATCACATGCAAAAGGACCCAGGTGCAAGCCCCAGTTTCTCCTGGTAGGTCTGAGAAAGATTCTCCATCTCAAACTTTGACTTTCTGCTAGTCAATGTAGGCAATAATGAGCTAGATGGACTAATGTTTACAGAAGTGTGCACAAAAATAACGGCATTAGTGAAAATAACACAAAAATGCATAATAATAGAAAAAGTTGCTTGCTAAAATGTGTACGTTAGTCAAAACGGCATATAAAAATGTGTTCAGAGAAACTGGCACCAAAATGATGAACTTTCATGAGCATTTTTGCACTAAAATGATGGTGGATTTTCATAAGGATTTTTAAAAGAAACCATCTGCAATTGTTGCAACATGGGGAGAACTGCATTGTAAGACTGGGAAAATGAGAAATGGAGAGAGCTGAAATGAGCAGATTACTCCCAGGTAAGTGTGCATAGGATTGCATCCTAACAGACTTTTCTTCCTTTTAAAAGCACCGAAACCATTAGCTATCTTGCAACAGCACATCCCATAAATTATGTGCTATGTGAAGAACTAATTCCATTGTCTGTGATGAATCAGGTTTCAATCCTAATATCATGGCAATTGGCAGTGGTGTGTCAGATAACTACTCCCCACCCCCCAGACCATGCTCATCCACCAGTATATTTGCAGTTTATCCACCTGACAACCTTGTGAGTTAGATTGGGCTGAGAGATGGTGACAAACCCAAGGTCAGTAAACAAGTTCCATGGCTGCGCGGATTAAGAACCTGGATTGACCCTATGGTCAATATCACCCTAGCTCTATATTCCATTGAGTTCAAGATAGCTTCCTCCCAAAATGTAGTGTTTGGTGAGGTGGGGCAAAGCCACATAGCTGCCCTCTCAATGCCACCATCACTACAGCTGGGGTGGGGCGGAAAGTTAGTAATTTCAGGGCTATGTGGAACCACCGGTAGGAGCACTAGATTACTGGAGAATCCATGCAGTCCTGATCTTGCTACCACATTGCCCCAACCCAGCTCCATCTAGG